TCATCCTACAAACAACAGCAACCTCTTCGCAAGAGCCCTGTGCATCATTGAGTAGTTTGCTTAACCTCTTGGAGCCTCAGCTGCCTAGAATGAGGCCAGCAGAATAAAATGAGGCCAATGATTACACCCACTCAGGAGTTGTTGTGAGGCCTGGAGCAGAAAGTGCACATCAGAACTGCTGCTTGCTGGCCCACCAGGAGGTTAGGGGAGCCTTGCAGTCCCTGTCCTCCTCCCTCAGTCCTGCTGCACTGCCTGGAGCCAGCAGTGCCCACGGAGGTAGGAGGGGCGGGGAACATGGTGCTCAGCCTACAGAGTTGAGATAGCTCAAATAAGCTAGGGTCACACATTCATAGTTGAGCTGGGTCTAGAGCTCCCCAGCTCCCAGCTCCAACTTGGACACCAGCTCTGGGCCATTTTTCAGTCAAGGCTCCCAGCTCAGGGCCAGGAAGCAGTCACTCACTCCAGTGCTAACTGGTACCCACTATGAGCCACACACAAGGGGGAGTGGGGATGATGATGAATTGGGCTCTGTCCTCAGAAACTTACAGTCTAGCGGGAAAGACTCCTCATCAACTCAGGTATATGATGGACTAGGCCTTTCACAGTGGAAGGGGCCCTGGGGAGGGTTTTCCAGGCCAAGGAACAGCATGGTGGAAATACAGGGGCATAAGGAGCATCATGTATTCAGAGCCTGGGTGGCTGCAGTGGGGGGTGGGAAGGTACCTGGAGGCTGGCTGGGACAAGGCTCTTCCCTCCTGTCCCTGTGGTACTGTTTTCTAGCATCTGAGCAACTCCAAGGAGCAAGGACTTACCATCACCTTAGTTCATTCCCAAGAAGCCTGTGGTGTCCCCATTTGACAGGTGAGCTTAGAGTAGCTTCCTTTGTTCCCTCTATCTGTGGGGGCATGCTTTGGCCCTAGGGCTTCATGTGGATATCCTCCCCAAGTTGACCAGCATCCTGTTCTTCCATCACCACCAGCCTGCAGGGCTTCCCAGGCCCTAAGCTGCTCAGCAGCACCTGCTTGGAAGACCAACATGGATCCTGTGTTGCACACTCCAGGCTGGCGCAGGTCTCAAGTTCCAAAGTGCGTGCAGGTCTCCTCTCTCCAGATCAGTTGCCTAGGGGTGGAGGTCATGGCTATTCACCCCTCACCCACCCTGATCAAGCAGCACCACCTGTTTGCAATGTGCTCTCAGAAACCCAGTCTTGCCTGTATTCTTGCACATATACCAATGGGATGATGCTCCCCACTGTAGAGAAGAAGAAACTGACGCCTTAAGAGACTCAGTGACTTCTGCCTCCCATGGCCACAAAGTGACAGAACCAGGCCTGGGACTCAGCTCTAGCTCCACTCAGGCTCAGGCCCTGGGCCAGCCCCAGCCTGGGGAGGGGAAGGGCCCTGGATATACCAGAGTGGGCATGCTCCCCCACCTCTTACTGGAGTGACTTGGAGGAGTAATTTACTATCTGAGCCCTAATCTCCTGACCTCTGCAATGGAGGTAAAAATAGCTAACAGTGCTCTTCACAGGGGTAGGTGGCAGTTAGAGGAGAGGCTGGAAGAGAAAGAACACCTATTGGGTGCTGTTGGTCCCATCATGCCCCCACACAGTAGGTCCTCATCAAGTTCTGACAGAGTCTTACAGTCAGCAGTAATCCTGACCCAGCGCTTCTAACAGGAGGGTGGCAAAGATTTAGGGAAGGATGGATTAAGGAATTCAAGGGAATTATTTAGTAATCAGCTAAACAAGCTAAGCTGCCTGGGAAAGATGAGGATCAGACTATTCATTTAAGTTATTTAACAAATGACTATTAAACACTTAGCTGACTGGGAGCGATGATGAGGATAAGGATGATGGCAGTTCTCAATTATTAGGAATGTATCAGATACTTTAGAGTCTCATTACATTAACCTTTTAAGGTTGATATTCCTTAAAAAGAAATTTTTTTCCTTTAATAGAGGTGCTAGTCAGGTGTGACACTAGGGAGAGAGGCAAACGAGGCACCCAGAGCACAGATTTGAGGAGACACTTGTTATGACTCTTATGACACCCTTGTCACCACCCTGGGCTCTGATGGACACTGTCCGTAGATTGTGTGCTGCCAGCAGACATCCTTCCCCCGGCAGCTCCTCTAGTTTTGCTCGGCAGTGGAGGGCTGCCTCCCCAGAGTCACAGCACTTCCCTAGGCAGCCCCCTCCAGTGACTGATGGGAGAGAGTATAATGGCCCAACTTAGGATAATTCTGAAGCTTCTAGCTTCAGAGCTTCCCGAACAAGGCTCATGTTGGGTCTGCTTTGTAGCTTTGTCTGTTTACTTCTGCTCCGTCCCCTCCCTTCCACAGATGCTGACCCCTGGGGTGCTCCTAAACAACTTCTTGCAAGCTAAATACCATCCACTCTGCTTTCTGGGGACCCCAACCTGCAATCGGGTTACCTTTGGGGTAACCTGATACCAGCTGGTTAAAACACAGCCTTTAAAGGCTCTACTATAAAGGTACTCCTGAAAAGCCAGGGCACAGGGATGATAAACTATAAACTACACTGTTTCTAAACACCTTATCTGAATCCATTTAATCTCCTCTATAGCACTTTGAGAGAGACACTATTAGCACCTCCATTTTATAGATGAGTTCAAGAGAGGTAAGACTTTCCTTGAAAAAACAAAAACAAAAACCTACTTGGTAATGAAACCCAGTCAATCAGAAGATGATTCAAAATAATGAACTTCAGCCTGGGGAAACTTGCCTATGAAAAGGGAAAAAAAAGATGGAAAAATGTCTTGTCTGTGCCACGACTCAGTTCTCAACCCCAAGGGAGCCTGAACCCCAACCCTGAGACCCAGCCCAGGTATGGGAATACAATCCACAGGACCAAGGATAACAGGCTGCCTTAGGAGGTGGTCCCAGAGAAGAGAGAGGTATTCACTGGATCCAAAGGAAGCTGGTGTGATTACCTTAGGAGAACCAAGACTCGAGGTCAGGCAGCTAGTAGGAGCTGCTTCCCGAACTGGATCCCAGGGCTGTCAGACTACAAGCCTCTAAGTGCTGGCAGGAAGGAAGCTCCATCCTCCTCCCCAGCTGGGAGAGTTGGAATCCTCTGAAGGGTGTCAGGGATTTGGGGATCCAGGTGGTAGGCCCCGTCTTAGCTTCTCTGTCCAGCTGTGTGCTGTCCAACTTGTCAGCAGCTCACTGGAAAGGATGGGCCGACTAGCTCAGCAGCTGGACTCCCTCTTCTATCCAGGCCCTTTCACTCTAGAAAGAGGCAGGTGTTGGGTTTCCATTGTAATCCCTTCCATATGGATAGCACTTTGGAGTGGAGTCCATGAATTTGCTCCTCACTTATTGTGAGGCTTATTACCTTATGAAAGAGCAGGGCAGAGATATTAGCCCCATTTCACTGGCAGAGAAACTGAGGCCCAGAAATAAGGGAATCAAGATAGTGTCCAGGTCCTCCCATCCCAATCCAGCCCCTTCATTTCTATCTCTGGTCTGGGATTCTGAGCAAAGCCAGGTCAAACGCTAGCTTTCCTAAGCCAGGAACTCAGGCCAGTCTCTTTCCAGAAGTCTCTCTGACCTTCCTCCCCATCCTGTCCCAGAAATCTCCATTATCTAAAGAGAGACCTTTATTCATTTTTCCAAACACCTCCTGCTGCCCACTCCATGTGCTGGTGGCTCCAGCTAGGCCTGCCACAGTGTGCTCTGAGTGGGCTCACAGGCTGGAGGGCATCATGTCAACCAACAAGCTTGGCGCAAGTGAAGCCCAACCACTGGAGACAGAACTCAGCTCTGTGTCCCTCTCCACGGTCTCTGAAGTTCATTCTTTCCTCTCCAGACCGGCTGCTCTGGCCTAGCCTGGTCTTTGGTGTCTCTGACCTGGCTTCCTCCCTGCCTTCAGGCTCTCTCTTTCAGTCCTTCTCTCATACCCCTGAAGCACCTGGGGATCACTCCAGAGACTCAACAGTAGAGGGTGGCCAGGAGCGCACTCTGGCGATCAGGACTGATGCCAAATCCTGCCGGGCCTGGGCGAGCTCCACGTCCCTCATCTGTGGAATGGGGGCTCTTCCTACTTCACAAAGTTGCTGTAAAGCCATTAGATCTTTGCTGTATGTTCTAGAGACCCCACGGTTTCCTGGTATATGTCTGTACTTATATTCCTCCCTGCTTTTGAACAGGCTCTTCGCTTGAAGGCCACCTTCTCCAACTCCTAAAGATGTATTCACTATTCAAGGCTCTGCTCCTCACAGGAAATGTCACCAACTCCCTGAAGCCTAGACTGATCCCACTCCAAACAGATGAAACTACTCCCTCCTCTGGGTTTGCCTGCTTGACCATCCTGTTTTCTAGTCTTGATGCACTCTTCCTTGCACCAGGGTGAGTGATTTTCAAGCCTGTTACTCTCCTACTTCCACTTGGACTGTGACTCCATGAAGGCATGTATCAGGTTGGCACAGGGTCTAAAGCTGACACCTTTCTGTAGAATAATCACTATCATTTATAGAGGGCTGCCTGAGTGACTGGCACAGTGCTACAGGCCTCACATTGTATTTCATCCTCATAACCCAGAAACTGGAACCATCTCTCTCTGAGGAAATAGCCTAAGAAGACTGAATGGATGCTGTCTTGGAGAAGGCAGAGAGCCACAGTCCCAAGCCAGGACTGTCTGAATCCTCAGGTACCACCCAGCTGCCCTCTGGCCTCCACACTGCCCTGGGTAAACAGGTGAGGGTAGCACCACCAGGCTCTCCTGCCATCCCAGGAGCTGGGAAGTCCACTGTTGATGTCCTTGGGTGATTTTGCCACCTGACGGCAGCCTCTGCCTTCTAGATTGTGACAAAACAGTTGCATAACTCTGAGACATTTTCAAAAGAAACTGTCAGTTTCCTCTCCTGGGCACTGCCAGGGCTGTGGCCTCCAGTCCTCCCAGGGTCCCCAATAGCCTCAGGATTCTAGAAGCCAAATATAGTCAAGGGTTGGAGTGATAAGGAAATGAAAACACAAGACTGTAGTGACCCAGTTTTATTTTGGTTTTGGAGGCCACATGGGACATTGCTTCACCCTGCAGGGGTTAGGCCTGTACTATTGTCCCCTCCCTAAGGCAGTGGAGGTGGGGAGAGGGCTGGAGGCCAGGTGGATGGATGGCTCCAAGGACCCAGTGACCACAGTGGGTTGCGCAAGGAGAGAGGGTTAGCAGGCAGAAGCCTGGAGGGACTCAGACTGGGGTTTGGGGTGGTGGAGAGTCCAAGAGGGGAGGATACAATCCAAGAATGGGGAGACCGAAAGGGGGCCCAATCCCCTTCACTTTACCACCGAGACACGGAGACAAGAGAGGTGAAGCCAAACTGTCACCCTGCAGGGGGCAGGGCGTAGAGTGAGGCCAGGCGTCCCAGCCCGGGGTTGAGCTCTGCGCGGTAACTGGCTGCCTCCACCCTCACGGAGGGTGTGTGCAGGGCCCAGGCGCTTTGTGCGGAGTCCGGCAGGCAGTCAGGCCCCCTTGTCCTCTCTGGCACGCCAGGCAGGAGCCCGGCCGCGCTCAGCAGCTTACTGAGCCGGCGGGCGGCGCTGACCCCAAGTCCGAGAAGCAGTCGAACTCGCTCTGGCCCAAGAAGAGCTCGGGCAGCTCACGCACGCGGTGCAGCCCGAGTTCCAGCTCCAGCGACGTCAGAGCCTCCTCGTCGATGAGTTCGGCGTCCATGCAGCCCAAGGCGTGCGCGGGCGGCAGCGGCGGTGGAGCCGGGGCGTCTGGAGCCGGCTGCAGGCCGGGGCTAACTCCTGGGGTGCCGGGGGGCGCGGTCGCACGGCCTGGGTACAGCGTCGTCGTCGGCTGCAGGTGCGCGCTGCAGACAGTCGGCGGCGGCGCGGCCGCAAAGGGCTGGAAGGCGGCCGGCGACCCGAAGGCTCCGTAGGTCAGGGCCCCGGGTTGGGGGGGCAGTGGTGGCGGGCCGAGAGGGGTCCCGCGCGGTCGCAACCCGCTGTCCAGGCCCGCACCCGCGAACGGCTGCAGCGTCCGGATCGCGTGAGGGCCTTGGTGGGGCGCGGAGGGTGGCGGCCTCTGCACCAGGCGGTAGCCCTCAGCGAGCATCAGGTGGTCGGCCATGGCGGCAGGCCGGCTGCCTGCAGGGGCGGCGGGCGGTTGGTCAGAACGGGCAGTCCTCGGTCCTGGCTTGCTGCTCCTTTGCGGCGAAGAATCCGAGCCCCGTGTGCTCCCCGCAGCGCGGCCGCGCAAAGGAAAGCCGGGGCCGACCCGTGCTCCAGCCCGGCCCGGGACGCACGGAAACCAGACCTTCTGCCGCAGCTCCGGCGGCAAGGACTTCGCACACCGACCGGGTCCCGCTGTGAGACCGCCGAGCCGCGCGTACCCAGACTCAGTGACATTTTATATCAAGAGGCGGGGATTCTCCCCGCCCCCTGACTCTCACTGGCTGGAAGAGCCGCTTCTGGGCGGGCCGTGCCACGCCTCCAGGAGGCCTCGACCGGAGCTTCGCCCTTTGGACCCAGGGCCCCGCCGCAGGCTGTGGGTGCTGCTCTGGGGCGAGATGTTTGGCACTTTTCAAGGGGCTGGGTCTAGCTGTACAAGGCTCAGGTTCCGGCCTGGCTCGGTCCAAGCTTGACTTGACCAGAAAAGGGTGGGAGGGCCAGGGCTTTAGGCCCCCAGAGCCGCAGGATCTCTTTATTTTTCAGATGGAGAAGGAGGCTCATTGAATGAAGGGGTTTTCTGTGAAAACACGGAAAAGCCTTGATAGCAGCGACACTCGAACCCAGGCCTTGTAAATGCCACCTCTACATAGGGCACAAGGACTTTAGCGGTGCAGGGTCCCGCAGAAGGTCAGCTGCCCATCCCCATAACCCCAGGGGAGCCAGTTGCTCCTCCTCCAGCTCCCACTGGCTTGTCTGTAAAGCATGTACCGAGTTGTTATTAAAGTAATTTATGGGCATGTCTCCTCAAGGACTTGTTCATCTTTGTGTCCTCAGCAGTTGGCCCGCAGCCTGGCCCAGAGCAGGCTTTTAGTAAAAGTTGGATGAAAGAACAAATGATCGAATGAATTGCAGCTCATTCATCTGAGCTCCTGTTTCTTCATCTGCAAAATGGGGTCAAGAACAGCATCTACCCCACTGGATTATTGTGAGGGTGAAATGAAGAGAGGCATGTGCAGTCCCCCAGCACAATCCCCTGGCATATAGTAGGTGCTCAAAATGTACCTCAAATAAATGAAAGGCTGGATTTAGTTCTGTCTCTAGAGATCTTCTGAGTGGGGCATGTAGCACCTTCCTTTGATAACAATAACTTGGATGTTTGGAGTGCTTTATATTCTACAAGCGTCTTATTGGGAGCAGGGCTTGGATTATGAGCCCCATTTTGCAGAAAAGGAGACTGAGGTACAGAAATGGAAGGTGGCTGTCCTGGCGTCAAGCATAACCAGAGCTAGCATGTGAATGCCTGGTTCTTGCAGGTAGAGAAACCCCAGGTGCCAGGAGATAGACTCCCTGAACCTTGCCTTCACATGTTTGCCACTGTGTCCCTTCTCTGGCTCCCTTCCCCCAGTAGTGTCCTTGGGACTTCCTGGAACTTGGGTTTATCCAGTTGGTGCAGAGGGGAGAACCCTACAGTGAGAGTCCAGAGGCCCAACTTCTAATCATATCTCCACCACCCACAGGCAGTATGACCGTTGGGTGTTGGGAGGGGGATGTCACTTGATTTCCCAGGACCTCAGCTCTCTGCTCAGTGAAGGGGATCTTGTAATCCCTGCCTGGTCACCTTGAGAGCTTGGGGGAAGGTTACAAGTGACCATGGGTGTGACTGCATTTTTTGCAAAGTGTAAAAGCTGCACACTGAAACTGATTCTCCTGACTCTTTCCATTTAAGTCTTCACACAGAAATTCCTAAACCTCTGTGCTCCTCAGAGTCACCCGGAGGTGGGGGCTGGGAGGAGCTTTGAAAAGTACCAACTCTTTGGTCCCACCCAGACCTCCTGACTTGGAGGTTTTTTTTTTTTAAAGTGTTTTTGAATCATAAGAATTTATATTTTTAAAAAGCAACCCTGTCATCCTGGCATAGTTAGTCTAAGGACATCAACACTAGGGAGCTACTGAACAGTCTTCCTTTAAAAAAAAGTGTGAAAAATTCTTAAAAAGTTCTTTGATTTAGTCAGCATACATTTATTGAGCACATACCCTATGCCAGACAGTGTTATACTAGTGTTTTTTAAGCTTCCAGGGTCAAGTAATTCTTTGAGAATCTAATGAAAGCTACAGATAGCATAGTCACAAACTATTGCGTATAAATTTGATGGGTTAGCAGATCTCTGCAGGATCCATTGTGTCCCTAGGGGTTCATGGGGTCTACCTTCCCTGTTAGGTACTTGAGGACATATAGTCAACAACAAATCAAATCAAATAATTAGTCACATGTGGAGAAACCATCCATATGGTAGGTACTATGGAAAAAAGGAAAAATAAAGTAGGGAAGAGATTGGGATTGCAGGAGGGCAGCTTGCATTATTGCACAGGATTATCAGAATCAGCCTCATTTTTGAGACCGTGAGGTTTGAGCAAGAACCTGGAGGGGAGGACAGTAGCTAGTTGCTGTCTGGGGCAAGAGTGGTGCCAGCAGAGGAATAATGGGAGTGTGCTTCTAAAACTGTAGTACCGTGGACTGAGGCATCAGCATCAGCAGGGATCTTGTTAGAAATGCACCTTCTCGGGCCCTACTCCAGAACTGATCAATTTCTGAATCAGAAACTGGGCTGGGGCTCAGCCATCTGCATTTTAATAAGCCCTGCAGTGATTCTGAGCCCCTGAGTCAGGATAAAGCCTCAAGGCAGGTGTGAGCAACAGCCAGGAGGGAGTGGGGCTGGAGCAGAAGGGGCCTGAGGGTAAGGGCTGAATCAGACATGGACTGGATGCTTTACATATCTTATTTTATTTAATTCTTATAATAAATGTGTGAGTAGTTACTACTATCATTCTCATTTCACAGATGAGGAGACTGGGACTCAGAGAGACAAGTGACTTGCCCAAGGTCACGTGGAGGAGAAAGAGGGCAGCTCCACTAGCTGCCTCCCAGTGTTCACTCTCTTCCTTACCAGCCTACTGGGTAAACTCCTGCCTCAGTATCTCCAGTTGTTTCCTTTGTCCAGAGCACTCTCCTCCCTCATCTCCATATCTGCCTGGTTAATTCCCTCACATGCTTCAAGTCCTTGCTCTTATCCTGACTACCCCATTTAACTGTAGTAATTTCCAAAAATACCCACAAATTCTTTGATATGCCTTCTTAAATCCCCTTTCCTTGAATGTGGGCTGGACAGAGTGAGTCAATTCTAACAAATAGAACATAGCAAAAGTGACAGTGTTATTTCCAAGATGAGGTCATAAAAGATATTGGGAGTTTCTTCTTGCTCTCTTGAATCACTTGCTCTGGGGAAGTTAGCCGCCGTGTCATGAAGACACTCAAGCAGCCCTGTGGAGGGGCCCACATGGCAGAGAACTGAGGCTTCCTGCCCACAGCCTGTGAGGAACCAAGGCCTTTTGCCAATGTCCATACGTGTGAGCTATCACAGAAGTGGATCCTCAAGCTCACTTAAAGCTTTTGTGTGTCCACAGCCCCAGCTGTGAGACATCCTGTTTGCAACCATGTGAGAGACTTTGAGCCAGAATGACTTAGCTGAGGTGTTCTTGGATTCCTGATCCATAGAAACTGAGATAATAAATGTTTGCTGTTTTGAGCTGCTAAATGCTGGGGTTATTTGTTACACAGCAAAAGATAACTAGTACATTATTACAGCAACCAGTCCCTGGTCCATCCTCCCAATGGCTCTTACTTTGCTCTACTTTTTATTTTTTCCTAAGCATTTATCATCTTCCATGCATTGTTACTTATTTATTATGTCTAATTATTTATCTCCCTGCCACTTTGTAGCTCTCCACAGGCAGGGAACTTTGTTTCATTTATTAATTTATCTCCAGCCCCTAGAACAGTGTCTGACACATACTAAATTTAATTTAAAAGGAGATATTATAAATATAAGGTGAATCTGATTTTGGAAAAATTAAAATGTAAAAAGGAATTCATGGGTCCGAGAATCTATAAAATGCGGTTGTAGGTGTTCAATAACTGTCACAATGTAGAATAACAGAATGCTGATTTTGTTGAGGGCAGCAGTGTGTCCAGCCCAAAATCAGACACACTCCTGGCCAATGAGATGTAAGAAGAGATTGGGTGGGGTTTACTGGGAGACATGCAGAACAGGTAAATCCAAAGAGACAAGCAGGTGCTGAGAGGAAGGGAGCGCGGGGAGCAGCTGCTTAATGGGAACAGGCATTCCTTTTGGGGTGATAAAAATGTTTTGGAACTGGATAGTTGGTGATTGTACAAAACGGTGAATCTGTTAAATACCACTGAATTTTCACTTTAAAAAGGATAATTTTATGTTATATGAATTTCACTTCAATTGAAAAAAAAACCCAAATGGATTCAACTAGCACTCACTTTTTGTGCTTTGCCTTTCCTCCCTTCCTGTCAGGGATGAGGATGTGATGCCTAGAGGGGCAGCAGCCATTTTTTCAGCAGGAGGACAGAATAAAAAAAATAATAATAGTAATAATAGAAATTAACATTTATAGAGCACTTCACATGTGCCAGATACTGTTCTAAACCTTTACCTATATTAACTACTCAGTGTTTATAACAACCCTATAAGGAAGGTAGTCATTCCCATTTTGTAGATGAGAAAACTAGTACAGAGAAGAAAAATGATACATGCTAAAGATGACAGAGTGGAATCTAGAAGGGGCCTCTATCCTCCTCATACTGTGGAGCCTCTGTAGCAGTCCTGGGAGACCTGCTTTGGTTTTCTCACCATTTGAGAAAAATATGTCCTATTTACTTAAGCCACTGTAGTTAGGTTTCTGTTCTGTGCAACCCGAGATTCAAAGCCAGGTATGTCTGACTGTAGTCCAAGTACACCTAAAATCAGCTATGCTCTCCTAGCCTGCAAACCAGTTATCAACTAAACGCCTTTTGGTTTTTCTGATCTCACTGGATGGTTGGCCTCTTGAGGCTATAGATAGGGTCTCCCTCCATTCTGAAGCCCCATTGCCCAGCACAGGGTCTGTACCACAATGGTCTGTACCAAACAGTGCAGTGTGATGTTAGGATTAGCAGTTTGGACACAGGAAAGGAGCTCAGAGAGCAGGGAGGCAGACCTTCCCAGGTGTAGCACAGACATCAAAGATGCAGTGAGCTTGGAGGTAGGGAAAGACATCATGGAAGAGTGATGGGCAAGATCTGGACAGATGAGGAAGGTGGGGAAATGGGCTTTCTCCACAAAGAGCACCATTTTTGAAGGAAAGCACCAAGGTGTGGATGTATAGGGTGAAGTT